TATTCGCAAGTGAAAGGTTGGCAGTTTACATAAATGCGTCAATGTATCGGGTTCTGTGATAGCTGAACATTTGATTAAAAGTCAGCATTGTGTCCGGACATGTTCTCAGTGTTAAGTTGAACTAGTTCTGATTACCAGTTGAAAGAGTTAGAATCAGTGTACATTAAGTCCAACCAGCCATCTCTCTGTAAGTAGAAAAGGTTGGAGTAATTAACTTTTAATGTTATAATACATTTTTGGCATATAACATTTGTCTGGGGTTGTATATTTTTTAGTCGCTGTGTACATATTTTGTCCTCGATTTAGCTCTGAAGAGAGAGAACCGATAAACCGGTTAGCTCTCTTTTAATCGTGTTATATTTACCGTTTTACAGTAATACATATTTTTGTTACTCCTGCTCTTTTTGTTATAAATTGTATTTTTTTCTTTATTAAAAAATATTTTTAATATGTCTGCTTTAATCGTTCTAATATAATTTACAATGCATTTCTGTAGTAAAATCATTTAAAGTGCAAGGCCTATAGCAAAGTAATTTGACCAAATGCAGTCGGTATTCATATAAAAATATGATTACTTTTTTTTTTACTTCACAGCAATGATGAAAACAATGAAGTAACTTGTTTAATACTTTCTGTCCATAGTATCACGGCTTACACAGAATATATTAAATATTTGCGATGCATTTTTAGCTTCAAATAATTTCTGATGAATTTCTATTTAGTATTGACCATTTCCATATATTACAGTGAGCGAAAGTTTTGATGTATTTGTGTAATAAGACCCACTCATGATGCCACGGGTTACTGTTATGGGACCTTAAGCATAATAACATAATGGACTATTCCATACGTAATAAATACTGCGCCTCAAGAGGAAGCAGGGAGTTCCGTCTGAAGTCTAGAGTTCAGTCTGAAGTCTGGAGTGAAGTCCGTCAGGAGCCAGTCAATCGAGTCAGAGGCAGTCCGAAACAGAGTCGCGTTCAGACAATTACTACTAAACTTGATTGTTCGTACAAACATTATCTACCTCTATTATCTATTCCTGTTTGTAATATATCTGTGTTATTCCATATCCGCCTTCGAGTTCTTCTTTATTGGTTCTACCTTGGACTATCACCGTGGTACAAGAAACCGGACCATAACAGTTACATATATAGTTTTGCGTCCTTTGACTAGTTTAGGTTCCAGATGTTGTTTCTTGGGTGATTGCTGCTACCGGGTGTAGAAAATGGCTTGATCGAAAAGTGAGCCTGTTGTGGAAAAATGACAGACGACGAGAACGAGCTAAAGGAATCACCCTGGTTTAATCATATGCCTAAACAGCGAGACGATACGTCTGCTACTAGATTTCGTGAAATGGGGAAAGCGTAGAGTGTCAAATAGGAGGTCCTCTTTGTAGATCTTGCCTAGGTGGACAAATGGTTCCTCTTTTTCGGAACCTGAACTCCTCCCTCCTGCAAGTTTGAGTAGGAAAAGTCATAAACCACAGCTTCCAAACAACACTCGTACCAGGCCAAAGTTATTTGGGTCCAATTCATCGGCGAATAAGAATTTCGAGCTGTCATGCCCAATTAGCACGTCATTCTTCACTCCCAGATAGTTTAATGAGCATAATCGTACATCGCTACTCATAAATGGCTATAATTCTTCCGTACGCGGTTTTTATTAGATACTTTATAGTCATGTGATTGTTTTATTTTTTTTTTATTTAAATCGATTATTGCACTTTAAAATAAAATTTCCCTTCAGGATGTAGGCGATCATGGCTCTCCACAGATTTTGTTTCTTTAAGATCTGTGAATTGTCATGCATCTTTTAGAAAAATAGTAGAGTTGTTTGCCGTTGCCACCTTCACAGTTTGGATTTCAAAGTTTTCCTTTTCTTAGACTGGTTACCCTCCAGGTCTGGAGAGCCAAGTTACCTTGCTATTTAACCCATAGGTTGGGAGATTGGACGGAATTATGCTTTTTACTAAGGATATTCGTAAGAAAATGAATGCAAGAGACAATTTGAACTCAGTTCGCCGAAACCACTTATGGCGGTGATATTAGTTACACTAGCCACACATCGATAAAAATACATGCCTAGAGTGTTTTATTTCAGTATGCGTTCCATGTTATAGGAAGTTCTCCACTGAATATTAAGTAAAGTTTAATAAAATATAATCCAAAATTATACCCTTTGTTCTTTAACGCATTCATAACTAAATGATGATAATATTAAACGGGTTAAACTGTTAGGAAAATCTTGTTAATTGCTTAAAGTAGAATTTACAATTCAATTGCTATCAACATTTGGGGGATTTCCTACATTTTGCGGGTCTGTATCTTCAGCCATATTGTTTTTGTTTTTTTGTTTTTTATCCTTTTTTTTTTTTACAACGGTTCGACCGATACATATTCGGTTTCATTTGAATGGCATCCGTGTGCAATATATACCTGAGGAAAACTAAACAAATCGTCCGAAACGCCATGAAAAAAAAATACTAAAGATGGAGATGCTAGATTCAAATATTTGATGACTAAATAATTACGAGACTAACCAAATGCATTTTTTTTTTGTTTTAAGGTCGCAGAGATGGAAAATTTTGGTTCCTGGTTCACGATCCTTTGCTTGGCCGAAAACAATTACTCACTTCAGTCCCTAATAATCCCAAGATGGTGCTTCCATTTAACCAGGAGACGAAGAACAATATTAAAAAACTGTTCTCTTTAACAGAGGTAAATCAATATATTTTTTGCCGTTTTCTAAATACATACTTTTTCATTTTATTAACAGATTATATAAGCCAGAATGAAATGAGACAAAGATATAACAAATTTTCACCGAGCTGACATTATGACTGAAGATTAAACAAGGTTTCGAATAGTGAAGTTCAAGGCCAACCAATCCACTCAACATGGTTGATTGACGCTACATAATCTTTGAGACCCCCCCCCCCGCATTTCTTACTATTTAATCTTGTGATGAACAAAAACTTTCATCCATTTCAACATAGTATATGTTTAAACAAAATTGTCTTATTTTTCATTTAAATCGATCATGGCGCTTTAAAATAAAATGTCCCTTCAGAATGTAGGCAATCACGGCTCTCCACATATTCCGTTTCTTTATGATCTGTGAATTGTTATGCATTCTTTAGGAAAATAGTAGATCTGTTTGCTGTTGCCTTCTTCATGGTTTGGATTTCAAAGTTTTCTTTTCTTAGACTGGTTGCCCTCCAGGTCTGGACAGCCAAGTTACCTGACTATTTAACCCATAGCTAGGGAGAACAGACGGAGTCATACATTTTACTATAGATACTCGTAAGAAAATGAATGTAAGAGACAATTTGAACACGGCTCGCCGATACCACTTACGGTGTTGATATTAGTTACACTAGCCACACATCCATAAAAATTGACGTCATTATTGACGTATGGATCGGCACTGATGCCTTGGATCAGTGTAGTATCTGTGTACTCTTTTAGATGTATTACACACACTATATACGGATGGGAAATAAAATTGAGACTCTGCGCATATGTTTAATTTTATTCAAGATTAAACGTGCAGCTAATGCAACTGCATTGCAGTAACTTGCACTTACTGATCAAGCGTGCACAAGTTTCAAAATAATAGGTGTAACGACAATATTCAAACTCCATATTAGTCCACTGTAGATCCTCTTTGGGGGTTAACACAGGCCTTTAATAGTGCGTATTCAATTCTTCAACTTGTCAGTTTGTTTAGTGGAACACACCTATTCTATAGTTAATAGACTCTCCCACCTATAATAAGTAGGAGTAGTAAGAGTAACTTGTCAGTCGGTGAGTCGGTCAGTGAGTCGAATACTAAAGTATCAGCGACCACAACTAGATTACTCTGCGTTATACCTATTATATCAAGTTCCTAACGTTTTGTACGTCGAACCTATTTTAGGACCGACTTAGTACAAATACAAGCCTCCACTGTGAAATCACTCCACAACACAGTTGCTGCTGGGATATCCTTTAAGGTCGCACTTACTTTTCTCTGCTTGATTCCAATAAATCCCTACCATCTTCACAAGCTAACACCTAATTTTTTTCTCTTCAGCCGTTCATGTGTCCCTACTGTAAGGGAGAGCGACTCGAAATGAGGAATCGAACAGCGTTCGAGTTCTAGTCGGGTTTATTACATTCATTTACAGAATTTGTTAGGAACGATTGGATTAAGCCAATTATTCGTCCCGTCACATTGTAGCACTTGAGCTTGCGGAGAAGACCGTCATGCCAAATCCTGTCGAACTTCTTTGAGATAATTAGAGCAACAGCCCAAGCTTCGCTATTCTTATTTAAAGTTTGATAGACAAAATAACCTTGGGAAGGGTATGAATCCATCTCCCTTGCCAAGTATGGGTTAAATAGTAGGGCTTGTATATGTAGAAATAATTGTTATTCTCAAAAATTGCTAATATAATATTCACTTGTAAAAAAGTAATTATTCTTACAATTTCAACTATATTTCGGCTTTAAATAATCTACTCGTTGGTAGTCTGTCAAAACTTTAAATAACCCCACATGTCGGTAATCCGTCAAAATAAAAAAAAAAGTCAATCAATCAATCAGCAGCAGCCAACTTCAACAGGGAAATATTTAACTTGTCATCCAGCGTCTTTGCATTCTTATACCTGTTTCTCGTATTTTTTTCTTTTCAAATTTGAGCAGCATCAGTGTTGATCTAATGTGGGCCCGTAATGTTTTGCCTTTACTTTGTGTAGTAAGTATTGCCCCAAGTCACAACTGGAGACTTTCAAAATCAACGTTTTTTTTATAATCGGAATATGCAAATAAATGAGGTGCCATATGCAACGAGAAATAAAAAAAATAATTGTGGTAAAAAAAAAAGCACGAAAGATATGAGTAGTATCGATCAGTATATTTTTTTAAAATTGTCATATGTTAGAGCTACCAAGAATTTGATCCACATATTATTATTATTATTATTATTATTATTATTATTATTAGCATCCGTATATAATGCCAATATCTGAATTGGAATTTCTCGAAGAAGGCTTCATCATCGTTGTACGGCCATTCAGTCCAGCTGGATCCTTAAAAGATGAAATATACCAGGTGAGTTTCCACAGTCAATGTGTTTACTTCTTAAGCAAGATTGATATATATATATATATATATATATATATATATATATATATATATATATGATATATAATGATATATAATGATGTATATATATATGTATATATATGATATATAATATAATATAATATAATTGAAGCACCGACTGATTCTGATATACTGCCTGATAATACCTCACTGGTAGAAACCAAGGTAGCGTGAAGGTCGGTGTTTCAATTATATTATATCTTAAACTGTCCTACATTTTCGTTTTGCGAAAGTTGTATTAACCACTTTTTTTAATTAAGCCGTTTTTTTTTGGGGGGGGGTATTTATTTTTGTCAAAACTTGGACTATATATATATATATATATATATATATATATATATATATATATTCATTTCATCCCAAGCAAGGTGATAATGCAACTAATGACGTAATCGATTATTACTGGGACTGGTGGAAAATGAGAAACTTTGGTGTGGAGAGAGGACAATATAAAAACAAGATTCAGGAAGATAGAAGATGGCGATTGACGTTGCATTCAATTTTTTAAAAATTGTAGGTGGTAGCGTAGCAAGAATCTGGAAGTGAATCCCACATGTGAGAAGTGCAAGAAATAATGATGCCTACTTACCAATCTAGTGGTACGTTTACATTCACGCAGTGGACGCACTAGTTTATTAGAACAACTGACATGAAAATATTTATAGAAAGATCAGAGAGAAGCCACGTCCCGGCGGTGAGAAAATGACTGAAGTTGAGATGCCAGTTCAGGGCCGATAACATTACAGATCCTTCTTCGGATTTTTTGAGAAACTCAAAATATATATCAGGAGTACCAGACCAGCAATGTTCAATGCACGGGCGAATGGTAGATTTAAACGATATTTTTAGGGGATAACCATGTTTCAATAGACGTACTGTTTTTAAAAAATGTCAATGACGTCTACCAGCTTGCGCATTCGAGACCCTTAATCAAGGAACTGTGCTCCCCGACAGTGTACAAAGCTTCTTCTCCCTTTGTAGTGGCAAGGCCGACATATCTAACAAAGTAAAACTGGCAACTTCTTTCAAAAAGGACCACCAATCAATGGTTAACTGGAGCAAGGAGTGGCTTGTAAATAGCTTTAAACTTTTATTGTTATGGATACGCTTCTAGTTCATTTAATATGAATGCAGGAGGCTACAAGGACTCTGTTATGGGATCTTACCAATAATAATAATAATGGACTATTCCATACTTAATAAATACTGCGCCTCAGGAGTAGGCAAGGAGTCAATAGTTCAAGTCGAGTCAAGAGTCGAGTCAGAGGCGGTCCGAAACAGAGTCGCGTTCAGGCAAATACTGGTCGAGACTACATTGTTCTCTCTACTAAACCTGATTGTTCACACTAACACTTCTACTTCTTTGTATATATTCCTGTTTGTAATATATCTGTGTTATTCCATACCTGTGTTCGAGTTCTTCTTTATTGGCTCTACCTTGGAATATCACCGTGGTACAAGGAACCGGACCATGACAGATTGTATCCTCGGGCCTACGCTGTTTCTGATCTTCATCAACGACCTTCCCGAAACCAGAAATGGCTTATGAATTTTAACCCCCTCCAAAACAAAACTACTTTCATTTAATTACTACAGATAACCTTTTCTGACACTCTACGTCCTATTGGGCCCCCATTTTCCACAAACATGAAGTTGAGCGACTCTATCGAATCAACTGCTACGCTTCTTGCTAGGAAAGTTGGTTCACTGTGTTGTGTCAGAAAATTTTTCTCGTCAGTATCCGTCAGTCCGTGCATTCACCACGTGAATAAGATTGTCTTGTCTTTAGTATTGAAGTGATTTTAGTGGTAGTTATGAGAAAATAGTTTCACTATTTACTCAATCCAACAGTGAGTAACTAGGCAAACTACACTCCCATAACTACCACTAAAGCAGTAATAACTGTTAACTCCTTTCATAAAATAAATGAAAATGAAATACTTGTCAAAAATTAATAATAATGGCTGACATTGCTTCATCTAATAAAAAAGAATTAATTAAATACAATCCAACTGTTATAATGTTTCGTCCAATAAAAAGTGATGGCGAAAAGAAATACTTGCCCAACATTAAAAAGAAATATTGGTTATATAAGAAGAAAGTAAATATTTTCAAGCATTAACCATATTTGACAAATATATTTCATCAAATATATTTATATAAAAACAAATACTAGTGAAAAAAAAATTGAAAGTTTCATCTAATAGAAAATGAAAGTGATAGTAAATTCTTGTCAAAAATTAATAATAATGGCTTACGTTGATTTATCT